TTGGTTGATAGCTTTCGGTGCTTCAAAGTAGTGGCAGAACTAAAATGAATAATTAAACAACATGAGATCATTATACTAAGCCAGACTAGTTACTACCTTCCTATTATACTTTGTTGGCTTCTTCCACTGCTTGGTACTTGGTTTTTTATACAAGTCACTCTTGATATTTGAGTTTTTCTTTATTAGGCAAAACAATACATACAAATAGTTTCTTGATTCAAATCCAATACATATATTGATATACGTTCTTGACTATGTTCACGCACTACTTTCTACTCGCCAAATTTGACATCTGAGACAACTGAGTTTTGGTATGAACATCCTCAGCTGTTTTACTTCATTTTCCCCTTGTTTTAGACAGAAGAAAATTGTCTACAAGATTCATTAAATTATAATAGACACTCATATACACATGGATGTAAAATTACTAGATATTATATAGTGAGAGATGTATTTTTCCAGAAATTTCAGGAAATTTTGCTAAACCTATTTTGTTATCATGAAAATGGATTTTTTTATTAATATTACTATTTGCCTGTTGTTCTGATAGAAAAGGAAGAAATTGAAGGAAATCAATTATAGGGCGTTTGGTGTTTAACTTCTGTGATGTAATTAATGCTCATTCATAGAATGAATATTTTGACTCAATTCCTTTGCATGCTATTCACTTTCAGATTACCATTTGTCATTGCATTTGTTTAATATACAGTAGAGGGTTGTCAGTTGCACAATTATAGAGCAGTTTATTGTTACCGCTTAGGCTAGTGGCAAGTTCATTTTTGCCGGAGATGTTTTAATATTTTGTTGTTCTGTCTCCATCTTTATATCATTAAATAAATTTACTTCTGAAATGTTGTTCAGTATGAGGAACTCAAAAACACACATGTCCAAGTATCATCTTCACCAAAGGAGGAAGCCCCTGTTGAAGGATTATGATTCTACTCAAAACTTATCATTGAAAACTGTAGTTTTCGATTATCTCTTCAAGGATATTATAGATTTTAGAAATGTGATTGCTGATTATGGCGAAGCTTGTTTCATGATGTATTTCATTTATGTTAATCACCCATATATAGGCAAAACTGATGAGTCTAAATGCCACCCTTGATTTCGAATTATAGGAGTTTGAGCGTATTGTACCATAACCCGACATGAATACAAATGTTTTTGCCTGGTTATTATTACTCGATTCATAGGCATGATTGCATCTTTGACGAGCATTTCATATGATGATTATTAATTTTCATATGATTGCAATGATATGCCATTTTTTTTTTTTTGGGTGAAAAATCACAATATTTTTCAGCATTTCCAAATCAACTCATGACTATTAATTTCATTTTTTTTCATTTTTTTTTTCTGGCAAAATGAGTTACGTTACGTGTAAGGGGTCCAGCAACCTAATTGCTCTGAAGCTTTTAACTAATCTCAATTTGTTGTCTAAGAATAATAAAATGTGCAGTTCACTAAGTTAAATGGAGAGACACTAGGTAATGACTAACATGTAATGTTTTATTCTTTATTTTATTTTTTTATATCTTTTTAAGATCATCATTGTAACAAATTATATTTTTATCGAATATGGGACAAATCTTGACCTCGGTTGATCTTTCAAGGTAGGCGGTTCAAAATTTAGAATCGGTGTCGATCACACACGAAATAAAATAAAGTCCTAAACATTATAATCACAATTGGTTTGTAGAGATTATCTAAAAATTACCAAGTATTCTAAAACAAAAAAATAACAATAAAATTACTAGATAAGTAGAAAAAGTTTAATAATCCAAGTATTAAATTTATGTCAAACTTATTAGCGTTCGGTTTAAAGACCAAGGTTCCCACCTAAACGCCTATCAGTTCGCTCTCAATCACTCTTGTAACAAGGAACTGAACATAAACGAGTAAGTTTAAGCATACGCACAAGCTTAGAAGTCTGTCCCCGATACTTTTATGAAAACACGGGTTCGGAAATAGACAAGCACATACTTCAGCCAATGAACCCATAGACGATACAATTACGAACACGTATTCGGATTATAGTCGGATACCATATCTCCTTTCGAATTCTGGGTTATAAATTTAAACTAGATGGTGATTGAAGTGAATAAGATTTCACTCGGGCTCCTTCAACTCGGACGGCCACCGTACCTGCAAGAACCCAACGCCGAGAAGGGTCCCGGCGTCGGGCCTCCGACGCTCAAGTCAGTCTCCATTTCCAAAGTGAGAGTGTAGTAATGAATGAATAGAGAGTGAGAGAATGAGATACCTCAGCCCCTTTTATAGGAGGGGTGTACCTTATGGCCCAAGTTGGGCTTGTCCAATAGCATTATGCCACGTGTCCTAGCATGTGTAGGCTTATTTCTTCAATATATTCTCTTCTTATTCATTAAACCCGGTCTAGTATAATATCATATATCAGTGATCAAGTAACTATTTCAATTAATCGAGCAATTCAAACATGCATGAACACCACACAATCATCACAAAATCAAGACGATTTGAAATCCCGAGCTCTTGGTGGATAAATTACCTCGTACTCAGATTGAATTTCATGTTAGTCAAATCAAAGAACATAAATCCATGATGGAAAACACTTTTATCAAATCAGTTAACTTTTCAACCATAAACTCGAAAGTCACTATAAGCTACCAACTAAGTTATCAGACATCAGGTAACTTATCAACTAGTTTTACCACTTTTTTTTACAAATATGTATATGTAAGAAACAGGGGTAAAACAGGTGCGGTCCCATGCACGTGAAACGCACAAAAGCAGGGAAAGCCCAGGTGAAGCCCAAGTGGGGTTCCATCCCAAAACTAATTAGTGGAAGGAGAAGTAGCCCATTAAATTTATAAATTAGACATATTGTTCCTATATAAACAATGTGAGACAACTCACAAGTGAATATTCTAATATTATATCTTTTATTAAAAATGTCATACTTTTACAAAACAAAATAAGCAAAAATATGGCTTATAATACTAGAAAATATGCATTTTTATTGAAATAGACTAATAGATTGACCCGTATAAACTAGGGTAATTGTTAATTTAGTACCTGTACTATGGAGTAATTGTGATTTTGGTACCTATTCTTTATTTATTGCGAAAATACAACCTGATCTTTACGTTTTTGCGAATTTGATACCTAGTATTGACATCGGTTTGCATGACTTTACGTTTCGGATTCGTTTGGGCTCGTTCTAACTCGAAATTGAGTTCCGTTTTTTTCTACGCGTCGCCAACGAACCTCTCTATTTAATGATGCTTGTATGACCAAATTATTCTTGAAATACTATTCTCCCAAAGCTTATGATCAGCACAGACGTGCTTCGCGCGACTTCTCGTTTTGGACCCGTTCGAGCTCGTCCAAACTTGGAATTGAGTTCCGCTTATTTAGACATGTCGCCAACGAACCCTTCTACTCAACCATGGTTGCACGGTCAATTTTTGGGCCAAATTTATTCTTCACGGGGCTCCCAACCTGCACACTAAGAACAAGAAGAAACACAAAAAAAACACACGGCACAATAAACTACAAAAACGAATAGAAGCCAACGAAAAGTTCTAAAACGGGGGAAAAATAGTAAGTCAATATTTAGTAAGTCAATATTTCTCATCAAAATATTCCAAAAAGCTTAACGTGTGAATTGACAAAAAATTAAAAACTAGTAGTGATGGTGTTTTGGTAAGTGTTTGTTCCATTTTCTTACGTTTTTTTCTATTAATGTTTTGTCACTATTTTTTTCCCGTTTTAGAACTTTTCGTTGGGTTTTTTTCGTTTTTGTAGTTTATTGTGTCGTGTTTTTTTTTTCTTTTTGTTTTTAGTGTGCAGGTTGGAAGTCCTGTGAGAAATAAATTTGGCCAGAAAATTGACCGGGCAACCATGGTTGAGTAGAAGGGTTCGTTGGCGACATGTAGAAAAAAGCGGAACTCAATTCCATGTTTGGACGAGCTCGAACGGTCCAAAAACGCGAAATCGCGCGAAGCACGTCTTTGGTGTGCTGATCATAAGCTTTGGAAGAATAGTATTTCAAGAATAATTTGGTCATACAAGCATCATTGAATAGAGGGGTACGTTGGCGTCGCGTAGAAAAAAACGGAACACAATTTCGTGTTCGAACGAGCCCGAAACGTAAAGTCATGCAAACCGACGTCAATACTAGGTACCAAATTCGCAAAAACATAAAAGTCATGTTGTATTTTCGCAATAAATAAAGAATAAGTACCAAAATCACAATTACCTCATAGTACAAGTACTAAAATAATAATTACCCTACAAACTAGCTCACACAAAAATCAATATTGATCTCACCGTCAATTTTGCGAACCGAAAGGGTTTGGCCACTAGGCCAGTGGTTGCCCACACTCACTCACTCTAAGGTGCACTTTACTTAGATATGCAACTCTCCTTTTCGCCCGACCCGAAAACCAATGTCTCGACCTGATCGGGGTCTAGATATTTCCCATTTCTCGCGTCAGTAGTTCAGAAAAGAAATCCGAAATGGCTTATTTAAATATTTTTATTTTTATTTTATATATCCGTAAAATTAGATTAGATAAAAATTAGAAAATATCCTCCCACAAAACCCAAAAACCCTACTTGATATGATAAAACCCTGTCCCCCATTTCTAAACTCTCCCAAAGCTACAGTGTGAGATATTCATTCCCAGTCCCCTGCCATGGCTAAATGAGCTGAATTAAGTTTCGATAAAATCAATTATGGCTAAGAGTAGTTGGAGGAAAAATCCGCAGAGGCCTCGCCAAGGGCTTGGAAATGGACTGAGTTCCATGGGAGCTCATAATTCCCGGGCGGGTGGTGTTGATCGGAAAAGGAAGATAAAGCAGCACGACCAGCAGCTTTTTATGACTACCAAAGATTATAGTCTGCGGCTTCAAGAGGTTTTATACACTCCCGAGTACATTTTCACCAAGATTTTCCGAAAGGATGGTCCAGCGCTTGGTGATCAGTTTGATTCACTTCCCTCCGATGCTTATCCCAGTGGTAAGAAGGTGGATTGTGTTTTGTGGTTATTTTCTTATTTGGATAAAGACTGAGTATGAATTGCTCAGGTGGATTATGCTTTCATTTTCTGTTTATTTCTTGTTGTATTTTGTTTANAAGGTCTAGAGCCTAAGTTTAATTTCCTTTATATGTTTATTTCCTTTTCCCTTTTCTTCATCAACTTCCTCAATGTTTTTGTAAAGGCTGCTGCAATTCTTTTAAAAAAATTTGCCTGTTTAGGTTTCTACGCAGACATGTTTAAACTTCCAAGCTTGTTCTGAAAACATTTCACCAGTAAGGCATGGTATTGGGAAGGGCCTAGTGACGGCAAAGGGTGCTCCAGTAAAGAAACATGGCATAGGCAAAGGTTTTATGACTCAAATTGGTGTACCTGGGAAAACACATGGAATTGGGAAAGGTCTGATGACGGTTAGGCCACGGGCATATCCAGATGCTTGTGATTTTCCTGGTTACTGCACTGAGAGCACCACCCAGAAGAAGAAAAGAGAAAAACCACGAGAATCTATTCAGGTTTGGTTTTCTAATCCTCTTTTTGGTTGTCACAATTCTATTTTTTCTCTGGTACCAATAAAATCTTGTCTAATAAATACACCAGTTCACTATCAGATGTCCCATTCACACTTCTTGAGAGGTGATTACATTTAATCATTTGTTATGTAGAGAAAATTGGCAAACAAAGAACTGTCTAAGAGGAAGACTTCACTAAGAAGTAGAAAGGTAAACTTTTGCTTCAGATATTCTCCATTGTACTTATAGGTAGAAGATATCATTTTAAGTGACTATTTACTTACTGTTTGGTTCGTTGTTATAATATCACTATATCAGGTTGAATGCCAGAAATTTCAGAAGCAGAAGAAGCCTCACAAAGAAAAATGTCACCTTGCTCTTGAAGATATGCGATGTCTAGAAAACACAGAAATCATGATATTACAGGATGATGAGGAATTGGAGCTGACAGAATTACAATCAGGATCGAATTCGTTAACTTGTTCTGCTCATTTGGTGACCAGTGGTTCTAATGGTTGCTCCCTTTGCAAAGGTTAGTCACCCTGTACCTTAACAGTTAAACTTCCTTTTCTAAACCTTTGCTATTTTCCACTGTTTCTAGATAAGCCACTGCCTTGGTACATGTTTCCATCTTGTCATCCTTGTGATACTTTTTTCATATTTGAATGATAGACCTGCTTGCCAAGTTCCCTCCAAATTCTGTCTCAATGAGGCAACCATTGTCTATGCAACCTTGGGCTTCCTCGCCAGAGCTAGTGAACAAACTTTTTAAGGTATCTGAATAAGTTTTTCCGCTATGGTTCCAGTTGAATGAAGTCCTGATTGCTTTTAGTACCTTACTGGGAAATTAAGTGTGATTTCATTTATATTCTTCAATGAAAGTCCCCATCCTGTAAATTGTTTTTCTGAAAACTGTATATTTAGTAGTAATTCTTCCTGTCCCAAACTTATCCCTTCAATTTCCTTTTTTTTTTGGATGTCTCGAGGTGAGGTGCCAATTTCCTCATTTTTTTGGTCAATAACTCCATCCACATACAAGTAATGCTGCCACTCAAGTAGCGAGGACCATTACTTTAAAGTGAAATAGTGTAATATAATTAAAAAGAAAAAAGTCTAATGGAGTACAAATAGAAGCCAATGACGAAGAGAACAGACAATATGCGAACTTCATATAAGAATTATTATGGATACACAGGGAGTACCCTCCAGCAAGAACATATTCCTGTCTCAACTGTAGAGCTAATATCCTTAATCCTCGCAATCTCTCTTTTGTCTTCTTCTAAGAGAGGATCATTATTGATAATATAAATTTTACAAAATATGAATGATCAGCACTGATTGATATCAATCTTTTCCTTATGAGTCATTAGTCGTTGCTTGTAATCAATCAGTTCCTAGTTTGGCTTCATCTTGGCCCTAAAAATCCGTAACTTTGTTAGTCTTCTTTAACAGCTGATTTCATTTCTTCTTCATTTATTAAATTATTCAATCTTGCTGCATTTGACAAGTATCAATTTCTTCCTAAAATATTAACTAGAGATTTGAATCTGACTCAACTGGACATTTTGAAATGGTTTGACGAGAGAATATTCTGTCTATTCCTATTTTTTGAGTAGTTAAGTCTGATGGTGGAATACATATCTTAGTCTCTATTGTTCAACTGCTGTTTTTTATGGTTTCAAAGTTTAGAGTCAATCACTTTGCTAATTAGAAAGCTCTGTATGTTTTCTAATGGGCTTATATATACAAACAAGAATTTTGGATTATAATATACATAAGATATACAACTTAACTGCAGAATGGTGTGCCACGCCGTTGTGTGTAAAGGACGTTCGTGAGCTAACTTTGGTACAGACATACACATGCACCCACATTTGAGCACAGATATAAAATTGGAGGTGTTAAACTTAAATAAGTCAAATTGCTTTTAAATTCTTTCTTTTCATTTCTACTTATATCTCCAAGTCAAAACACGGTTAATTTATATGTTGTTATTATGCCTGCATTTCCTAATTGTCACAAATTTGTTTATTGAAGGCATTCCACTTCCTTTGTACATATGCTGTAACATTGAGTATATCTTCGTTCACCTTTGATGAGTTTGTGCAAGCATTTCATGATAAGGTAAGCTGGTGTATGTTGCCGCATTAATTGTTAATTCTATTTTGTTACATAGTTTGGTTTGTTATTTTGTATTCAATCCATTATCCTTATGGTTTTCAGGTATCATTGTTGCTTGGGCAAGTCCATGTGTCCCTTCTCAGGGTACTCTTGTCAGATGTTGACAAGGAGCTGAGTAGGGGACTTAACTCGCATGCAATAAAAAATTGCAAATTTTTGTGCTTGCTTCATTCGGTATGTCTAAGTCAGGCCTTAATTATTGTGGAAAATTTTCTGTTTGTCATACTTCATTCATCATGAAGAGCTAATCAACTTGGATATAATGTTATAGATCAGCATCAATTATCATGTACATATATAAAATACCTGTTTTTCAGATGCAAAAATGACTGATAAATTACATTTGCTTGTGTGCTATAGCGGGTTCCTTAAATTATTTTCTTCTGCATTGCTATTAGGATATTATGAATACATTGAGGTTCAAGTTTCTCTTAAAATCTTACAAAGAAAATTAGGTAATTAGGCAACTCTTGTTTGAGTGTTTCAAATTGCTTTTTCTCTGTTCATACCATTATTTCTAATCCTTTGAAATTTATTTTGAGAAAATTTAAGCTAGGTCGTAACGTACATATTTTATGGAGTCTTTGAAGAATCCCTTTTTGGATAACTAAAGTAGTTGAAAATTATCAGCATAGTCTAAATAATGCATTGGAGTTGACGATTTATGTGGTTATGGCTTGATAAGAATATGAGGCGTTGTTTTGTTCTTTATAAGTTATCTTGAGTAATGTGAAATATCCAAATAAAAGATGATATTACAAAAATCATATGCGAGTAAAATTATTATTGTCTAATAAAATCAAAGAAAATTTTGGACAAATCTTATATTAATCTTGCAATTAAAGGGAGCCGAAAATATGAAGACAAAATGTTGGTAAACATACTCTTGATAGNAGAAATACCGATCGTGAAATTAGTGGGAGCCAAAATATTGGTAACGATATTCTTAATGATTTAAAATAAAATGTTCACGTGATGCCAAAAACAAATATATGTTTCAGTTGAAAATGATTTTATTAGTGGAAGAAATTTAGTCAATCCGTTTTAACATGTATGCTGCCAATTTTCATTTTCATTAATCAATTTTTATATTGTTGATTTAAACTCCAGTTTTCATGGTTTCACAGATTGAACATCAGCGCGTTGTTACGGAGTTATGGCAGAAATCACTTAACCTACTAACATGGACAGAAATACTACATCAAGTGTTGGTTGCAGCTGGCTTTGGTTCTAAGCTTGGTAAGATGGAGAAGGCAGGATACAACAAGGTATTCATTTCCTGATGAGTGTGTTTCTTTTTCTAATTCTTTATCATAGTTTCTTGTACTTAATTTGATTTTTTTCTCCATCATCGGCACATAGTTTGTCGACACCTTTCTTATTTGTTTGTCTCAAACTGTCAGGCGTAAAACTTATGTGAAAGTACGAAAACCCACTGAAGAGGCAAGGCAATATATTGCCGTTTGCATCTACATTATTAACCTTTTGTGTTTGAAAGGATTGTTGTTTTTGCATGTGATGTGTAGGTTTCATATTTTGTACATGATATGTGTGTTTGATTAATTGGAGAGATCTCTAACATGAAATAAGAGGTCAGTAATACATCTTAATATTGCTTGTTTTCCTTCTGTAGGAAGTCAATCTTATGGATAAGTATGGGCTTATTCCTGGTACACTGAAGGGAGAACTATTCAGTATTTTGTTGACCCAAGGAAATGGTGGAATGGAAGTATCAGAGTTGGCAAGATCTTCATCTGTAAGTTTGTATTATTTTGTTGACGTTACCACAATTACATATGAATAATGAACTTTCAGTACTATAGATATTATTGGATTTTACTTAGTGGGGAGTATTTTCTGTGATGAAGATTGTTGAGTTGAATCTCACTGATAAAGTCCACGACCTGGAGAATTTAGTCACCTCAGCTCTCTCTGGTGACATAACATTGTTTGAGAAGATTTCCTGCTGTGGATATCGTTTAAGGATCCATGCAACTGAAAATGAATGTGAAGACTATCCTTCTGATTCAGAAGACTTTGGGAGTGGAGATGACATTTCTGAAGTCACTGGCGGAGACGATACAAATGACTCTGTCTACGAGTTTAGAGATTCCAGTACGTTGAAAACTGATGTTGGTAAATCTGATGATATTCTGACAGTAAGTGATGAAATTGATGAGAGCCATCCAGGAGAAGCATGGTTGTTAGGACTTATGGAGAGTGAATATTCAGATTTAAATGTTGATGAGAAGCTCAGTGCATTAGTTGCATTGATTGATCTACTTCATGGCGGATCCAGTATCAGGATGGAGGTAAATCTCTAATGTACTTTTGGGTCTTTTTCCTGCTAAAGGTTATGTTGGACTCATGATAAGGCTTCCCTTCCATTCGGTTATGTCTCCTGTTTTCACTTAGTTTTGCTTGTGCTTTAGAGGATATAACGGCTGATGTTGTGCAATTGTGTGTGGAGATGCAGGATCATAACATTTATCACATACCTTATGTTACTTTTGTAGAGATTCACTTTCTGATGTTGGTGGATGATAATCTACGTCAATAATAAACCCAAAAATGCTTACATTGCTTATTCAATATATGCAATGTCTCAAAATGAAAATATTGCTGACATTGGTTAATGGGTTAACTAACTTCATTGTACTAGAAGTTGGGAAGATGATGTAGACGATAGTTTTAGCATTTACCATGGCCACCCTTTAGGCACCTAGTACTAATAGAAGTCAGCTTTTGTTCTGTCAGGTAGACTTAAAAACTGATTCGGTTGGCATTGGCATGTCTTTTTGTCAAGAACACTGTTGCCCTGTCTTTGCTATGGGTGTTTCACAATTTTACCCTCTTCTGTTGCATGATAACACTGATAGGATAAAATGAGAAGCATTTTACGAATCAAATAACACTTTCTTCTAAATTCTGTAAATCAACTTTTAGAATTTATTTGGTCATCCAACTTCAAAGATATTTGATCTTGTTTGCTGAATGTAGCTTACGTAGAGGAACTCTGCAAGGTCTTTCAGTGCACAAAATGCTGAAACTATGTGTACGTTTTCAATTTGGGGTTAAATGAATGTGCCCAGATGATATCTATATATGTTGACAAACTCTGAACCCTTCGATGGCAGTTGCTAAGATATTTAGGTTGACATGAATCATCACATCTGGCATAGTCTGGACAGGGTTAGCTCCTTAAACGGTTAAAAGGCTGGCTTACGAGGATATCTATATGTAAATGATGATAATAGTAAAAGAAGACAGTAGGGAGAGTGGATAATGTATTGTTGTTTTTTACTCTCTAAGAAAAAGTAACTGTTCTTATGCCAATCATAGTCAATATTTTTGCCTGGTTTTATAGAATTGGTATACTATTTGATCTACCAGCAGTTTGTTTTGCCTTCATGATTGTTCTAGCATCTGTGACATTTATCCAGAAGTGGTTCTTTTGCATATGATTTTTCAAGTTACTCACCGGTATGCGAAAATATACTGTGCTTCTCCAGGATATCATGATATCAAATGAGGAATTTGCTCCAAATATTAGTCAGTATGGTTCTGGTGCAAAAATAAAAAGATCAATGACGAATTGTTATAACTCGCTCGCACAACCAGAAAGCTATGGTGGGCAAAGGTTTGCTGGACTGGTCATAAATTCAACAGAACCAATTGATTCATTGGTTGTTATGTCAAAGATTGGTGAAGAAGAGAAGCATGCCAACATGAGAAAGATTGCCGAACAAATGGAAGCAGAGGAGTGCTTACATTCTATGCAGTCTGTATATCTGGGTTCCGATAGAAGATACAATAGGTACTGGTTATTCTTGGGCCCTTGTGATGAATCTGATCCTGGGCATCGGAGAGTTTACTTTGAATCTTCTGAAGACGGTCACTGGGAGATGATTGACACTAAAGAGGTTAACTGCTGTGACTTTTTTTCCTTAAATTACTAATTCTTGCTATGTACATGGAATAATTTACTTTCCCATTTTTGTGTAGGCTTTGTGTCAATTATTGTCAATTCTGGACCGTCGGGGTGCCAGAGAGGCTCGCCTTATAGTATCCTTAGAAAAGAGAGAAGCCATTCTAAGCCAAACGATGTCCAATATTCAAAGTGATGTTGAAAATAGGCAGCTGCCCCAGCCAGCTCATTCTGAATTAAGTGCTTCTAGGGATGATAGTTCCTCACCAGTGTCTGATGTAGATAATCTATCCAGCTCGATTGGAATGCAAAATGAATCACCATCTTCTACTGGCGCAGTAGATGTCGAAGCATGGAAGAAAGGAGAGCGGATGGCAGAAAACCATTCTCATGCGTTTGATGCTGGAATATGGAGGTCTTTTTACTATGAACTCAATACTGTTAAGCATGGAAACAAGACATATCTTGACTCACTCAGAAGATGTGATCAGTGTCAGGACCTCTATTGGAAAGATGAAAAGCATTGTAGATTGTGCCACACTACATTTGAGCTTGGATTTGACTTAGAAGAAAATTACGCTGTTCATTCTGCAGTCTGTCGCGCCAATATTAATATTACTGAAAAACGAAAGCAAAAGGTTTTATCTTCCCAATTGCAAGCACTTAAAGCTGCTATATATGCTGTAGAGGTGGGTGCTGTAGATCTAAAACTATGTATGCTCAGCATAGAGTTGCATATGAAAATTCTCAAATTCTATAGATAAATTAATCAGTTCAACTCCCATAATGTTCATCTAGAAACAGTAGTACTTTCTTGAGTTTAGTGACATAATTCTGTTCAAATAAATTTAGATGTAAGATAAGTTTCTTTCCTATTAATTATTGTCTTTTCCATGTCAATCCATCTGTTTAGGGGAATTTACTGAGGCTAGTAGGCAATATTTCTGTAATCATGACCTTCACTTGGATGGTCAAACATGACAAGATCGTCAATGGCTTATGTCTGATTATTACTTAAGAGGCTAGATAATATTGGTAGCTATTGATTTGCCCAAGTGTAGTGAACTGCCTTTAGTTGGAGCCGGAACTCTTTGAAATGGTATATAGTAAAATTCATGGCATGGAAGAATTTGGAGATCTGGAAAAGTAGGCATAATCAATTCCGGTATCCTGATAGTTAGCATAACATGACAGCACACAGTCATGCATTGCACGAGCATGATGCGAACCATTCTCTACACAGGAATTTATAATTTTTTGACTGCCATAATGTTTCAGAAGTTAATTTATCAGTTTTCATTAGTACAAGATGGATGGAGGTAGAACAATTAAAATTGTAGAAATTTTCTTGAAAAGGGATTTCTAGTTTCAATTTGGTCTCGACAATCAGTTCCTTTGATAAGTATCAATTATATTTAATGTTTTGCAGTCTGCTATTCCTGAAGATGCATTTTTGGGGTCTTGGAAAAAATCTGGAAATCTATGGGTTAATAGATTACGACGTGCCTCCAATTTGACAGAGTATCTACAGGTGATTATTGCACTATCGCTGTTCTCTCTCTTCCAGGTGGTTGAATTGCTGATTCACATTTTCATATCTTCTCCATTTTGTGATGTTTAGGTCTTATCTGATTTTGTTACTGCCCTCAATGAAGATTGGTTTTATGAAGACGATGTTTTGGGTTCTCATGGTACCTCAGATGACATTATTTCGAACTTTTCAACCATGTCTCGTACGTATTCTGCAGTCGCGCTGTGGTTGGTAAAACTGGATATTTTGGTTGCATCTCGGGTGGAAAGGAATTCTTGAAATTATTCCCAGATGGTTGGCTGGTTGCAAGGTATGCACATTTCCAGACTTCAAATTCCAAGTCTCAGTGATGCTTCTGTTCTGCTGTTCCTCTTAACAATTTTGGCTTCTAGGCTAACAGCATTTTGATTTGTTTCATATTCCGTTTGTTTTGTCACTGTTATTCCATTGCTCCTATATTTGGTGGCTTTATGTTCAGATAACATGGAAACAATTAGTGACGGTCACAGATCTAGATTTTCTTTTAGGGGAGTTCTAGTCATAATGATTAAAGTAGAGTTAATTATACAAAAGTACATGAGCTTTCACTTATTTATAATTCAAGCTCTATATTTAGAATTGTATTGTATAAACTATTTGTGTATTGTATTTGTTAAGAAAATGGCTCCTATAGACATTTTCTTGCATATTACGTACCTAACTATTTTGGTTAAAAAGTGTTAGCAAAAGCTTAAAGCCATTTTTCTGTGAAAGTGAAAGGGAAAAATGTATAATAACTCAAAAAATTGAAAAAATATGACAAATGCGAGTGCGGAGAACCATGGAAAGCACTTGGGAAAATCATCATGGCCATTTAATGGAGCAACAAAGTCAAAATAAGAAATGGAATTATTTTATAGAATTGCGGTTGGATTATGGAAGTATGAGAAATATAAACTTTTGTTTTCTGATATTTGGAATAAAGAAAACACTACTACGTCAACTTTATCACAAAATATACAAGGACGCTAAGTTTCTGAAAAATGATTGATTATTAAACATTTTTCCCTTGTCATCATTTTTCTTTCTTCATTTTAAATATTTATCTATAAAGATTGTGTTTTAACTTTGGGGGCCGGCCAGTCTTACACTGGATATATATTGGCCGACTGTTGACACCTCCAGAATCACCTTGTGTTTCCTTTCCTAAGCCAGTCAAACCTTCAAAATGTTTTTTGCTCGATTTTCTTTGACCTGTTGTATTACAGCGTTACCTAATTATTTAGTTATCTCAGTTCAGTGGCTCAGGTTCAGTGGAGTTTACCTCTCTCCTCTTTTTTTTAGCTAATCATGTTAACTTGCCCCAGTTTGAAAAAGAAAGTCCAAATTTTCAACCGCTGCCAGGACAGCTGATGATATAAATGCAGCCGATACAAAATCCAGTAATGATCGTCATTAAGAGTAATGATCATCTGGTGTATTGTAAATCTTGGTAAAAAATGTGTACTAGGAGTTAGAGAAAACTTTGTAAATGGCGCATGGATACAGGGAAAGGCTAAAGTATGATTTGCTAACACAATGCGTCTTATATAGTCTATATTTTGTATCTTCCTGCTAAATTGGTTTAGGTCTGGTAAGTTGTCTACTTGTCTTGGTGTTTTGCTGGGTAAGTACATATGTCTAATCTTTATGCATAAATTTTTCTTCATTGTCTTGGTTCATTTGTCTAACAAACAATAATATTATGTTTTAGCAAAACTTTAGCAATGTGACAATGATATGATCTTTTGCTATGGGATTAGGTACCTGCTGCATTTGCAAGTAATAATATATAAACGAGAAAAAAGCAAGCAATGTGGACCTTGTGAAGATTTTGGAGTGATCAATGCAGCAAACTAATCCTTGTTTGTGATCCCGATTCGCTTCAAAAAGAATTTCAGGTGTTGATTGTTTGTCCTGATGAATAACTCACAGCAACACTGTAGAGGGGCCTAAACTCCATGGTGTAGTTAGCAGGGAAATTGGTCCTTCTAACACATTTTTGAATCGACAATTTTTCTTTTTGCAGAAAACCTTATTGCCTGTGTAAATAACATTGTGTTGCTTTAGTGGTGTATTTGTTTTACATGTTAGGTTATTAATAAAATACATCAGACTATATACACTATAACATTCTTTTGTAAACAAGTTACGAAAGTGGTGAAAGTTAAACCTCTTACAAGTTGGACTATGGTGGCGATGGTTGAATGAAACAAGATCACTCAGAGCACCCACAATGTTTTGGGTCCATTCAAAAAAATATATACATGCAATATAGGAAATAGGCCCAATCTAGAAAAATAAACTCTTCAATGCAAATGCAAATAGACTGGGTTGTGCTAATGTGGCAACAAGAAAAAGAGACAGTCTTCCTTCAAGTCTATTTTAGACCCAAGTAGAGATTCAGTCTCTTTGATTGGAGTCAATTTTGTTACTTTTATATATATTTTTTTTCATATCATCCAATACTTAAGTCTATTCACATGCCACATAAGCAAAATTAGACCCAAAACATTGCAGATGCTCTCATTTAGAAATATTGTTATGGAGACAGAAGAACAAGATAAGACGAAGTGAAAACTAAAGCTTAAAAAATAGAGTTTTTTCGTTAAATTGGATTTATTGTCATATATATATATATATATATATATATATATATATATATATAGAATTTGAATCATATGAGAATGGTAGATAGTGAAAGAAATGAGAATAAATCTGTACAATTGGGTCCTACATATCAAATGTCATGATCAAGTCAAAATTTAAATATGACAATCAAACATGGGATGATAATTTCATAAATAATGTATATTTTTTGGCCAAATGTACACATTTGACCAATAATTAAGGGCAATTTGGACATTGCACATTTATCACACATGGCAGTGGGCCCAACACACATAAATACAGGTTCTATTTCTCTCTCTCTCTCTCTCTCTCTGTATATATCGCTGCAATCTCTCTATGTATATATCGCTGCATCGTATCTCTCTATCACTCGCATCTCTCTCTCCATCTTTCGCACCGTGGTCACATAATCTCAGGGCGGTGGTTGTTGGCAGAACCACGCACATCACGACATCAGAACAAATTCAGTCCACCGTCGACGTCATCCTCTCCTCGGCGTCACAACCTCCGCCGTGAAACTCAACGCCTCCGATGAACCTGTGTTTTTAACGATTTCTTTGCCTCCGGCTGTCGTCACCGGTGTTCGCCTGCGCCACGCCACCGCTTCCTATTTCCGGTACCCGAGGTGAACACGAGAAAGAGGCTCCCGTGGAGAAACCGACGTGTCGACCGCTGTCCATATCCGCCGATGAGCCTTCTGGGATGTCGCGCCGCTGGCCAGTTGAGGACGATTATGCGACGTCGCGCGTGCTTGACGTCCCCGGCAACTGAAGAGATCGAATAAAGCTCTGAAACAGTGGTGGCGACATCTTCGAGGGCGATGGTGGGTGATGGCGCGCCCGTGGATGGACGGCCGTCGATCTGTCGGAGGTGGGTGGTCACCGGCGGGAGAGGGTGTGTGAGGGTGGTGGTTAGGTCTATGTAGGTATGGGCTTGTTTTTGAGAATTTGATAAGTTAGAAGGATTTAATAGCAATTTTATAACCTTTGGTATATTATAATGGATTTCAATGGTTAAATTTGTAATTAATTAAAATATAATTAGTGTTTTTAACACTTAATATTTTGATGTTTTTAAGCTGAAAATAAATAATATATGTTTGGTTATTTATATATGAAAAATATTAAATAAATATTTTAATATTTATATATAAAAAATAATATTTTTATATATAATATTTTTTTAAAAATAATATTTTATTAATAATAATAATATTTTCTACTAAAGATATATATAAAAAAATAATACATAATTTGGTTGTTCGGTTGTTTCGATTATTTAGGTTTGTCTTGACAAAAAATAAAATAAAATAAAATATATGATTTTTCACTAGAATAACCGAGTTTTTTAAAAGTAAAGAAATACAATCCCGTCGCCTCCCCTAAATCCCGTCGTCCGTCTATACAATTTTTGTCGCCTTCCCCGGTAGGGCCCGGCAAGTACTCGGTGGTGGCTCAACTGGCCTTCGCGGCCCTCTTCTGTGAGATGCGATGCTCTGAGGGGAGCTTTTTCGCCGGGGAGATGCTAGCGCCGTTTTTCGGTTTCAGCCTCGGAGCTGGGAGTAAGTGGCGACAGCTGTTTCTCCTCCGGTATCTTCGTTGCGGCGGCCCTCTGGCGCTCTCAGGGAGAGGGCTGCGACCCCAATTTCCTGATCTAGGGTTTGGGGTGGAGACTTTGTCCGACCATTTTGTTTATCTTGGCCTTAATCTGGGTTTTGAAGTCGCGGTCGCCGGCTCTGGTTTGGGGAGATATTCGGCTCTGGTACGCGGCGTTGGTCGGCTCCGGTTCTGGGCGTCGGTTTCATGGTCGACGGGCCTGGTTCAGAGCGTTCGTCAGCGTTTGTTGGGCTGGGCTTTTTGCTCGAGGTTCGGACCATTGTTGTTAACTGTTTTGGTCTGGCATTTTGGTCTCCAGGTGTCAGTGGAGTTGTTCGTCTGGACGAGGATTGGGCCCGATGGTTCCCAACACAGTTAGGCATTCGTTTGCAGTTTCTGGGTCGGGCTCCTGGGCCGTGATTCTACCATTGTTGTGCTTGGTGTGGTATCCCGATTGGGGAGGGGCTTTAGTTATTGTTTTCACTTTTGGTGTTGTTTTGTTCTGTGTTTGTTTTGTTTAGTTTCGTCTATTGGGTAGGACTGTATTTTTGGTCTGGGCACTTTGCCTCTGTGCTTATGTTCTGTATTTTCGGTCTGGGCCTTTGGCCTCAGTTTGAGCGGGAGCAATTTATTATCCTGTGGAGATCAGCTCCTGTCTCTATTCTCCTGTGGGGAGCTTTGTGTTGTAGTTTTCTTTGTGTTTGTTGTGTAGTTGTCTAGAGTGTCTTATTTTGGTTTCTAGCGTTTGCTAGTGTCGGGCTTCTAGGCGGTCGTCAGACCTGTCCTCCCATTTTATTCAGCTTTGGCTGCGCTCCAAGTTGTATCTTTGCACATTTGTGCGTTTGTTTAATATTATCTCTATCGTTTTGGGAAAAAAAAAAGAAAAAAAAGAAAGAAATACAATCGAACCGAAATATAAAAATTTGAACTGATCAGTTTCATTCGACATTGTGCAATCAAATAGTCATTAATGTGCAACTCGTACAACCCTAATGTGCTCTCGCAATACATAAACATTTAAAAAAATTATAATAATATTTTTTTCGTATTGTCTGGTTGGTTCGGTTATTTAAGTTATTTTTAAAAGTAAAGTTGACATTGAATTGATTTAAAAGTAAGAATAAATAACCGAACTGAAATGTGCAATCGAATAGTCATTAAAGTGCAATTTGTATAATACTACTGTGCATGTAATCACTTACGTTTTTAATGGTTTATTTGATCGATTAACCGAAATGTGTAATCGGGTAATCAAAGTTTATTTAATCGATTAACCGAATTAATCTAAATAATATGTATGATTAATTATTTATATTATAAAATATATATTTATTATTTCAATGTTTATATTCAATATTTTATATTTAGTTTTGGTTGAAGAGACATAAAATTCAAAATATCGATATCAATAATTTTATAATGTGCATTTCTACAAACAATAAATTGCATGTAGCATAACATTATTGTGAACTCTATTGATTGTGTATTTTATAATGTGCATTTCAAATTTAGAAACTTTAATGATGTGTATTTTAATTATCATTATTTTTGTAATTATAAAATTGTTTATTATCAAATATTTGGTACATATTAATTTTTATTTAATATTTTATTTTATTTCTTGTTGGAAATAAATAATATATATACAGATCAAATACACAAATAATATTTTTTTGTACATACAAAATTAATAATGTGTATTTCAATTAACATTATTGTGCAGTCTAATAGTTACTAATATGACATATTGTTCAGTATATTGTTCTGCATTGCGAGATTTTTTTTTTTGTCCAAATATAAACTACACTTACCCAAAATAATTGAGTTATATTATATAAAATTATTAAAAAAAAATATGCATTTGTAAAATTATATGATAAAAGTATATTTAGTATTTATAATTTTTTATTCATTTTTTTCATATTATTGGTTGTTAAAAATATATATAGATAAAACAAAAATAATATGTTATATATAGTTCGGTCTGTTTCGTTATTTTATTTATTTATTATTATTATTATTATTTTTTTGCAAACAAGGAGAAAAAATGGGCTAAAATAACCTTAATTTTAATATTCATGAAAATGCACAATGTTGTGCTGATGTGCGTTCTCGACCCAATTAATGTGCAGTCGGCCTAACACTATTGTGCACTATGATAGTCACTAATTTACATCTTTGATAACACTACTTTGCACTATGCAGTGTAGGTTTTTTTATGTGCAAATCTAGATTAAAACCGAACTGATTTAATTGAGTTTATCTATACAATCAGAATAATTTATTATTTATATTAGAAAAATTTATTTTTTATTTCAAAAATTTTATTTATTATTATATATTATTTTTCTGTAACTTTAATATTTTATAGTATTTTTAATTGATGTATTTATTTATATATATATATATATATATATAGAAGTGCGCTCAAATGAGAATGAGTTATAGTGAAAGATATAAGAATAAATGTAGGCCTTTAGATCTAACAAATTAATGGTCATGATGGAGTCAAAGTTAGTAAAGTCGAACTCATTAAGGGTAATCTGGTTATTTAACACTCATTAAGGGTATTTTTGTCATTAACAATAACCCTAATCACTAATGGGCCCTACCACAACCACCAAACATATCTCTCTCTCTCTCTCTCTCACAGTGACATAGATCAACACACACTAAACTCACGCTACACACACACACTCACTACACAAACTACATCAACGGTCAGATCCGCCAGTCCTCTGGCGGAAACTGAATTGCCACAACAACTGACTCCCGACACCCGCTGCAACAGACTCCTAGACTTCTGGCGAAGACCTCCAGTATGGCAGAGGCGAAACATATGGCCCAGGCGTGGAATTATTTTCTGGCAGAGGACGATGAACGACGGAGATTTGTCATCGACAGTGAGTTGGCAGCGACAGGCATCAAGAAGGAAAGATAGGCTTCAAGCACCCCGTATTTGTCTCAGATGCTGAACGTTGGCGACCTGGTGGGAGAAGGTGCGCAACGACGGTCAGCGGAGAGAGAATGGCGGGAGGACGGCAGCTCTCGAGTCACTAATCCACAGAGATTGAAAATATTAATATATGATGACGATAATGGCGAAAAGAAAACTACTGAAAATATTGTCTATAGAGAAGTTTTCCACAATTTGTAATAACATACAATATCGTATTTTTACTACATATTCAATAGTGATGGTATTTATTTGTCATTTACTTTATGATATATGTATTAATATATATTAAATAAAATATTTTAATAAATATGTCCCGTGTGCATAGGTGAAGATACTAGTGAGGGTAGGAGGGAAGAGAATTTGGCAGCCACGAATTACCATACTATTTGAAGAGGGAAAATAGAGTGACAGAGAATGGATCCAAAGTTATAGGGGAGCTGCCATGCAAAAACTATGGAGAGAGATAGAGAGATCCCAAACTAACATTTCAGAAATTAACGGAGAAATTGTTACTCACTATTTTTGCACTTGCATGCAACCTTTCAATTTCTTGTCCAATTTTCCAAAACTAACAATTTCAAGAAAAAAAAAATACCCAGAAATTTCTAAGTCCTTCGCTCGGATGCATGAGCGCAATGCACGCTTCTCTGGATTCTGATATCAGATGAGAAGATTAGTGATTGGAACGTGGAATTGAAGATATAAGATTTCTAAATGGTACGTCAAACTCACTGTTAAAACGTTCTTAGGAATTCTTTTTTTCGATTAAATCAGTGAAATTTTGATTATGAATGAATAACGATGTTATGTAGTGAATATGTTGTGTGTCATTTAGGGGCTATCTGGTTGGGATTGGAAATGAGAAAATATGGGGTGCGTGCTCATTTGATCAATTTCTTAATGTTGGATAATCTCGAGAGATTCACAAGTTTGAAGAGACTAGGATCAACCCAAACTTGATTTAAGTGTTAGTTAAAAAATCGGCTAAGTATTTGAATTCCAGAAATGAGTGGGCCACTGTGTGCAAATTGCGAGTGGCTCTTTCCATAGTTTCTTGTTTTTTTAACATGTTATGTGGTGTGTATTGAATCAACATTGCATCCAATATTCTACTTGAAGATAACCCTATTATAAGCTTACATTGAACAAAGTATTGGAGGAGAAGTAAAATTGTTACTCAGATGAGTATGTATTAAAATTTAGATTGAATCTGACCCGGAGCTTGGACTGCACCACTCGGACCCTTATTAGACTAAAACACACTGCAACATTTATTGAGAGCTAAACATTAGGCTGACTCTTCAATTATCTACTATTCTCAGAAGATTTCATCGGAAATACGTTATGTTATGGTTGATAGGATGTAATTGAGAAATAGTCCTTGCTGCTGAGAAGGATTATATGAATAGGGAATTCTGACGAACTGGTTTCTAATTCAAGAATCCCAACTTTTCCAGAAAGCCAGATAAGGAAAGGGGGATGTCGAAGATATGATTAAGTTAAGCCAAAAATTTGTTTTTATGAAGTGTGAAACTGAAGATAAATGTAGTGTTCCAGAAAACTCCTGACAGATTTACCAACAAGTGTTGGTCGTTTCAAAACTCTTGAGTTCATAGCATTCATTTTCTGTTAACTTATCTGCTTTATTTTTGTTTTGTTTTGTTTTGTTTTCTTTTAGCATTGCCTTTCCTAGAAAGAAACTGAGATTATAGTAATTCACATTTTCTAGAAATGTGCATTTTCTTCCCATCCTCAAAACCATTATTCACTAATATATTCAAATTATGTTGTACTCAAACTTAAAAAGGAAAGCAACATTTACCTTCCAAAAAATGTCTCCTCTACATAAGAGAAAACATGGACGTAATATCCATAGTTGGAAATTCCTCTCATATTGCATCACAAGGTTGTTCAAGAAAACATCCTAAACACTGTCATTATCCAAAGTTTTTTCTTTTTATTACCAAAACACATTCCCTACAAACCTAGGAATAAAGCCACGATACACTTAATTGCTTTTGTTATGTACTTTATGAGCAAATTGGTTATCCTCCCTCCCTTGGACCAAATTCCCAGTTTCTCGAAACACATCTATCAATCAGTTGCACTGGAGTTTGTATTCTCATTTTCGGAGGTCAATAGTTATATATACTCTTCTTGGATCCTCATCTTGAAACACACTTATTTATCTGCATTAAGTTGTTAGCAATGCACTTTAATATATGTTGAAGCATTTTCTTGTCACTATGGCATCTTTGTGCTTCTGAAGAGATATTTAAGTACACTAGACCATAGTGTCCTCTTTGAGTGTTGTCATCTGAAGAGAACCCCCAAACTGTTCCACTTGACAGGTTATCAGAGTGATACTTCTTATAGGACTTGACTACATTTTTTCAGATATATTTCGTATTAGTTTACTTAATCTGTCCATTTGTGCACAGATTTCATCTGTTGAAATTCCAGTTTCTAACATTGTATTTTGTGAAGTTATCTAAATGTAACTAAAACTCTCACAGGGCACTTCAGTGAACATAGTTGTTGGATCTCACGTTTGGATTGAGGACCCTAGACTTGCTTGGATTGATGGACAGGTTTCGAAGATCAATGGCCAGGAAGCTGAGATCCAAACGCGTGAGGGAAAGAAGGTATGTTTCTGCACTTGTACTGTAATCACTAGTAGGAGGATTTTTTAATCTGTCCAGCTGCCGACATACTAGAACTTTTACGCTCGGCATGATGCCAGTGACCTTGTTCAAGTGATCTCATTGCGTTTCTTCACCACAAACTGTCCTATAAGTTATAACATTTCCTTATAGAGACCATTATTTATGAGAAACAACCTACTCAGAGATATTTTTATAGGTTTACTTTGAGATATTTGATGATGATAGGTTAATTGCTGGAGAATTGGTAAACTCAGGCTTTAATATTGGCTTCTGATATAACTTTTTGATTCGCTAACGTACACCCGACTGCCACACAGGGTTGATGGAAGACTAATCAAAAGAATTTGACATGATATTTAAACATGATCCCTAAAGTTCACGAAGTTAAATGTATTTTTCTAAGAGTGAACTGAGAGGAATATTGATGTGGAGTTAAAAGCAAACCAAAATACCTTTAAATTTTCCTTTATTAGGTTGTGAATCCTTGGATAGACTTGTGCAATAGTGCCACTATGGTAGAATCTCCCATTCTATTCTTCAACCCGCTCTGGTCCCCTCCTCTTGCCTCATATGCAACTTGTTTAATGTAGTGGTTGATACAGCCTGTAAATGCTAATTAGCTCAATTTCTTATGTATGCAAAATACTTGTTGACTCTTATATGTATGCTTCAATATATATATGCATGTGTGTATGTGTGTATGTGTGTGTGCATATATATATATTTCTCGAGTTTTTAAAGTGGCACCCTGATAATTATTGTCCGGAGTTATCTTTCAGGTTGTTGCCAAGTTATCAAAAATTTATCCTAAAGACATGGAAGCTCCTGCAGGTGGTGTTGATGACATGACAAAACTATCTTATCTGCATGAGCCTGGAGTACTCGAGAATCTAAAAACAAGATATGAACTCAATGAGATTTATGTATGCTCCCCCTGTATTTATTTTATTTTTTGATATTATTATCTGTTTATTGCATTCTAACGTAGAAACATATATTCTATGTTTGAGCTTGTCACAGACTTACACTGGAAATATTCTGATAGCTATAAATCCGTTCCAAAAACTGCCTCATCTTTATAATCCACATATGATGCAACAATACAAGGGAGCTCCTTTTGGAGAATTGAGCCCACACGTGTTTGCAGTTGCTGATGTTGCGTACAGGTTAAATCTATTATCTTTTGTAGTCAACAAACAAATGCAATGAAATTTATATGGCTCAACAAACTATTATGTTCACTGCAATTAGGGCCATGATAAATGAAGGTAAAAGCAACTCTATTTTGGTGAGTGGCGAAAGTGGTGCAGGTAAAACTGAGACCACAAAAATGCTTATGATGTACCTGGCCTTCTTGGGAGGCCGGGCAGCAACAGAAGGACGTACTGTTGAACAACAAGTTCTTGAAGTATGGGTTATAATAGAGCTATTCTTTTCTTTAGTGGTTCACCTTTGGTCTTTTGTGTCATATTTGTCTCATGGTCGACTCTCATGGATTTATGTAACTATTTTATGAATGCAGTCCAACCCGGTTCTTGAAGCATTTGGGAATGCTAAAACGGTTAGAAATAACAATTCCAGGTGAAATCTTTTTAACTCTTGCATTTGAATCACACAATTATTTTCTTTAATTTACATCATATTAGTGAATACACAATCTTTGGTGAATAAGTTTGGTCTGTAGTCTAGATGGAACTGAATGTATGATGACATTAATTTTGAGTTTCAGTTGATATTTAACAATTATGCTAACCTATATATTGTAATATGCAGCCGGTTTGGTAAATTTGTTGAGATTCAATTTGACAAGCAAGGGAGAATATCAGGAGCAACTATTAGAACTTATCTTCTTGAAAGATCTCGTGTTTGCCAAGTCTCAGATCCTGAGCGCAACTATCACTGCTTTTACCTCTTATGTTCAGCACCAAAAGAGGCATAATAGTCTTTTGTTATTGATGCATTCTTTTGCCAATACTTTCATCTCTAACATTTGACCTAATTGATTCCTTCTTTGAATTTTATACCTTTCCTTTCAGGAAATTGACAAGTACAAATTAGATCATCCCAAAACATTTCATTATCTTAATCAATCCAAATGCTATGAGCTGGTTGGTGTGAATGATGCGCATGAGTACCTTGCCACAAGACGAGCAATGGATATTGTTGGAATAAGTAAAGCAGAGCAGGTACGCCCTACATATTTTTCCAATAACTACAAAGCAAATCCGAGTTGCAGATAACTACTAATCTCCACCCTCGTTTCTCTTTTCCTATCATCTATTCCATCTCCGTCTTTGACTATTGTCTCTTGCATTCAGGAAGCAATTTTCAGGGTTGTTGCTGCTATTCTTCATCTTGGAAATATTGATTTTGCAAAGGGAAAGGAAATTGACTCATCAACTCCAAAAGATGACAAAGCCAAATTCCATCTTCAAACAGCCGCCGAACTTCTCAAGTATATTTCCCTTGATTTCCAAAGCAATACATTCTTATCATACTTACTTTTGGTTGTGGAGAATTCTTAAATACTTTGACATTAGGTGTGATCCTATCGCATTGGAAGATGCATTGTGTAAACGTGTGATGGTCACTCCTGAAGAAGTTATTAAGAGAAGTCTCGATCCTCATAGTGCAGCGGTTAGCAGGGATGGATTAGCGAAGGCAACATATTCGAGATTGTTCGACTGGTATTTAGCTTGACAACTTTTGTACTGGTATCTTCTATGATTCCCTAATGACAATTTTCTCTCGCCGTTTTTGTTATTCAAATGCAGGTTGGTAGATAAGATTAATTACTCAATTGGGCAAGATGCTAATTCAAAATCTCTCATTGGGGTTCTTGATATATATGGTTTTGAGAGCTTTAAGAACAACAGGTAGTAAGTTCTAGTAGATTTATGGCATCGACTTCACTTCTTAGACACCCGAACTAGCTCTCTACTGTAACACTGATTTGTGCTAATTGAGGCTTTTAATTCTATGCAGTTTTGAGCAGTTTTGCATTAATTTTACAAATGAGAAGTTACAACAACATTTTAATCAGGTAGGTTGTATGTCAAAATAGTGCGGTACTAGCCAATTATGACCTTAATAAGTGACCACTATATTCTTGCAGCATGTATTCAAAATGGAACAAGAAGAATACACGAAGGAAGCAATTAATTGGAGCTATATTGAGTTTGTCGATAACCAAGATGTTTTAGATCTTATTGAAAAGGTATTTCCTTGTTTGTTTTAATGTCAGTGAAAATAGCACTCATATATTGTTCCCATTTTTTTCTATTCCCCGTGTCTATATCACATGTCCATTTCTCTAATTTCTCGTATTTTACTTCTATCTCAAGATGTTGACATACCCATAGGGCCTTAAGCGTAAAGGTCCAAATGCTAATATTATATGATGATGGAATTGTGACTACACCACTAGACTAATCTTTTTTTCCCCTCAATCAAATTAAAAGATACAAGTACACTGGCACTAGAGGTGACTGGATCTCATAATCAATGAATAGGCTTATGGACAAAACCCCACGTGAGAAGTATTTGAATAGAACAATTGGATCTCCCTGGTGTCCGATTCTCCAGACATCAACTGATGTAATCTTTGAGTCTGTGAATTCATTCATTTGAACCAACCATGGAGAAGTGAAGATAGTTTGTAGTATGTCATGTATATTGAAGCATGGCTAAGCATGAGCCATAAAAAGAAGAATGTATGTTTACGATCCTTTGGGATCTCCATCAGACTGATGGGCTTCTAGAAGTGAGTTTGGTGCCTTCCCACATTCTTCCCTGGAGTTTTAAGCACTCTAAGTTTCTGTGAGTGTGGGGAAATGCATGTATTAATGTGTATGTGGTATATATTTTGATATTGATAAGTAATATATTGTAATATCGTATATTAAACGTGTATGTATTATATATATATATTGTACCCTTGGAATATGGAATACAATTAGCTCATTTCATTCTAGATGTGTATCAGAGTGCGGTCACGATTTTTAGTTTTCAAACTCCCATATTCTAATATTTGTTTGTTTTGTGAGTGCCTATTTCGGGTGTGTTCCGATTCTTACCTTCCACCTAGGTTGACTCGCCGTCGTTGGAACGACCGTACGATGCAATCCCAGCTGCCCGCACGTGTGGTACACACGCGCTACTGAAACTTACTGCTTGCAGTCCCATGCGCCGGCGAGTGTAGGCACTGAAAATTTTTCCAGCATTCAGTCGACTTGGTTTTCTTTGATCTACTTTCCTGTGGCCTCATTTTTATTTTCCAACTAATTTTCGCATACTTGATTCTTTAGGTTTCAATTTTTTTGGGACACCTGGAATAGTTCATTCGTGATCTTTGAATTCAGAACTTTAGTTGTTTCATAATTCTTTGTCTGCTTTTGACCATGTTGCATAGTGATGGTTGAAAGTATATTTTACACTTACGAAATAAAATATATATTTTAAAAAACCATAAAATAATATTTTTTCTTACATTTGAAAACTACATTTAGAATAATTATTAATAGTAAATTAAGAAATAGAGGTTTAAAATTTTACAACTCTTTTAAATTGTAACTTCCTGACATGAATAAAAAAATTAGTTTAGTAACCTTAAAACTTATCTTTTTAGTAGTTAGTAGTGTGGGTGTTCTTGGCAATTCAAAAGTTTCAAGAAATTACTCTTCCTTTTAAGAGATTGTAAGAGAGTTATGGATTTTGTCTCTATATACTTTCGTTGTTTGGTCTCATTTACAGCCATTCTAGGGAGATTTTTTGCAAGAATTTATTTTGGTCGTGGAATTAGTTAATAATGTACAATGATTGTGTGTTTGGATGTTATTTCTGAAAAAATGACATAATGAACTTGTGGAGATATTTGCATCTGTTGATGTTGTGGTAACTATAAGATTATAGTTAGAATGTATATTGTATACTGATAAAGTACTAATGTTCAGTATTCCAGGCAAATTGAATACCATTCTCACAACATGCAAGATGGTACACTTTTAATGGTGGACAAAGAAAGTTAAATAATGGAAATGAAACCAAACATATAACTCATTTTTGCAATGCCTATGATATTCCTATATGGTGTTTTGTCTTAGTAATTTTTTACTGTTCATTCTTCCATGTTGAGGATTGAGCTGGATATTCTAGAATTCTTATAGTGTCATACCTACTCGATACTTTCACATTTTCTGTTTTGCATTGGTCTATAATTGAAATACGTTCTTTTGCAGAAACCTGGTGGAATCATTGCTCTTCTTGATGAAGCTTGGTAATGCTCTTTTTTTTTTTCGCTGTTTCTGTGTTCCCAATGTTACCATTTTGAGGATATTGCATCGTTTTGCGATTTCCAATTAGAACTTTATTTGTAACAAATTTGTATTTCTTTTTTGCTTACGTTTCTTTGTTTTGATTAATTAATTTAGAACATTCGATTTTCTCTAAGGTTAATTATGACTCCATTCTCTAACTTAACGTCGTTATATTTACAGCATGTTCCCAAAATCAACCCATGAGACTTTTTCTAATAAACTCTATCAGACATTCAAGAATAATAAGCGGTTCGTCAAACCAAAATTATCCCGCACAGATTTTATTATTGCACATTACGCTGGACAGGTAATTTGAAATTACTTATGTACACCTTTTGTTTGTATCCACTACAAAGTTTCTAATCTCATACTCAATTTATCTCAGGTTCAATACCAGTCTGATCAGTTTTTGGACAAAAATAAGGACTATGTGGTTCCTGAGTATCAGGATTTGTTAGGAGCTTCCAAATGTTCTTTTGTGGCAGGACTTTTTCCTCCATTAGCTGAAGAGACCACAAAATCTTCAAAATTTTCTTCAATTGGTTCACGTTTTAAGGTTATTTGAGCCTGACTTGTCATTTGAAGTGCGATATATTTTTATGTTAGTTAATTCCTTCAACAAAAATATAAAATGAGAGTGAAGTTTAAATGTATTTAGTTCTTCACTATCATGTGAAAACTCGTATTGAACAAATGTATATGTTCTCAATCTCATCATGCAGTTGCAACTACAACAATTGATGGAAACTCTAAATGCTACAGAACCTCACTACATTAGATGTGTTAAGCCAAATAATCTTCTGAAACCCGCCATATTCGAAAACCAAAACATTATACAACAGCTACGTTGCGGTGTAAGTGCTTCTCATTGTGATTTCCTTAGATCTATCTTTACTTGACTTCTTCTTTTTCAGTTGCCTCAAAATTTTGAACGAATTTAGACATTTAACGGTGGCCACATCCTGTTATTCAGGGTGTTTTAGAGGCAATTAGAATCAGTTGTGCTGGATATCCGACTCGCCGTCCTTTCTTTGAATTCTTAAACAGATTTGGGCTTCTTGCACCTGTGGTTTTGGAAGGAAGGTGAGTACTTAGGCTGCTTTAAATTTTGATCTCACGTGCATGTTTAGTCAAGGTTGTGCATTGAGGTTTTTTTTTTTTTTTATTTTATTTTTTTTATTGTTAGCTACAACTATATGCTTTGTTTTTGTTTGGTTGGTGGACTAGTGTTGCTATATTGATTGCATTTGTTGTAAAAAGGTCATGTTAGTAATGTCAGACCTTTCTCATGAGCAGTTATGAAGAAAAGTTGGCTTGTCAAAGGATTCTCGAAAAGAAGGGGTTGAAAGGTTTTCAGGTTAGTAGTTCTCTCTCTCTTAACACACACACACAAACACACATATATATACATTGCGTATCTCTTGTCCAACCGATTATAATTTTATACGTGTCATATTCTTCCACAAGCGAGTATTATGCATAGTAAAAATTGGTAAAGTCAAATTAGGTATCTTGTGATTATGAAAAAGGAATTGGTATATCCTATTTAACATTGCAGTTGCTATCTACAATGAACTCCAATTACTTTTGTATGACATGCGTGAACGTAAGTGTAAGAAATCTAATATAAATTCGAAATGCGGTACACAAAAAAATCCAGACCATCATTTTGTGACCTGTGTGGCATGTGATTTGTAGGTTATTTCAAATAATTAAAATTATGCTTATTCTAACAACATGAATATACTAGTCTCACATGTTCTTACCTTGTAATATACTTACGGATACCATGTATCAACATATTAGAATATCATTTAACATTTCTCCTATGTAATTCTTTTGGCTGATAATGTAAAACTCTGTCCGTTATTGTTTGCATGGCGTCCCCATCGCTAAGTTTGCTAGAATGATATCAACTGCTTATGCATCTTGTACAAAGGAATCCACATCTCAGCAGATTCCATCACTAAGTTTGTCCTTGTTTATATATTATCATGCACAAAGGAATCCACATCTCTGCAGATTCCAATATACTTTTGATGACCTTGCAGCTAGGTAAAACGAAGGTCTTTCTAAGAGCTGGTCAGATGGCTGAATTGGATGCACGTAGAGCGGAAATTCTTAGTACTGCAGCAAAAGCTATACAACGACGCACAAGGACTCATATTGCTCGTAAACATTTTATAGCTGTGAGAGAGGCTGCCGTTTATATTCAATCTTTATGTCGAAGTAAGCCACTCAAAAACTAAAGGGGTTCTACGTACATTTCTTAGCGTCATAGAACTCTCAGCATAATAGATTCTATTCTTGAATCATTTCTCATGCATATGCAATAATTTATTTCCTCTTCTATTTTAAAATTCTTATGCATTTGTATCATTCTAGGTAGACTAGCATGCAAAATTTTTGAGACTGTGAAAAGGGAAGCAGCAGCAGTGAAAGTACAGAGAAATACACTCAGATACCAAGCTAGAAAAGCATATAACACGCTCCGGATGTCTGTTCTTATTATACAAATAGGTCTGCGGACCATGGACGCCTGTAACACATTTAGATTTAGGAGGCAAACTAAAGCGACAACTGTTATTCAGGTAATAGGATATTTTATTGGTTAATATAATATATTTTCAAATTAATGAAACACTCCAATTACTGCAAAATTTTTCTTAGGCACGGTGGCGCTGCCATAAAGATGCATTTTATTACAGAAAGCTAAAGCGGGGAACAATAGTTGCACAATGCAGATGGAGAGGACGAATTGCAAAACGAGAATTACGGAAGCTTAAGATGGTAGGATTTTGTAAGGGTGTTGTAAAATGTTATTTTTAGAATAGCGGAGCCCTTCTCATTTCCATATAAGATATATTGATGGAAACTCTCTTCATTAATAATAGCAACCTATATCTGAAATCTAGACTTTTGTGTCCATTTGAAACAATTATTTCTCCTTTATTGTTTACTTTAGTTCTCTTGGATATTCATCAATTGACATCTATGACTGGAGTTTATATTTGCGACTACGCTTCTCTATAGGCCGCTAGGGAAACAGGTGCGCTCAAAGAGGCTAAAGATAAGCTGGAGAAACAGCTAGAGGAACTCACATGGCGCTTGCAGCTTGAAAAGCGTTTAAGGGTATGGTGTGTTCTTGAGACAGAAATCTTTTCAGTGGCCAACTTTCAATTTCTTTCTCTTTTGTGTCTGTGTGTTGTGATGTTGGGTTGTTTGAGTTTGTTCATATATTTCCTTACATGGAGAAAAATATCGGCTGCAGTGTTTTATCATTTATGCCATGTAATTCAAACCAATTGCAGTCTGACCTGGAAGAAACAAAAGCTCAAGAGATAACAAAGTTGCAAAGTACGATAGAAGACATGCAGAAAAAAGTTGATGAAACTAATGCGCTGCTTATTAAGGAACGTGAAGCTGCAAAGAAAGCAATTGAAGAAGCACCTCCCGTTGTCAAGGAAATTCCTGTCTATATTGAAGATACCAAGAAAATTGAATCTTTGACGGAAGAAATTGACAAGTTAAAGGTAATGACTCTTGCTAAATATCATAGCATAGTTACATGCATATTGATCGTTGAGACTCCTTTCGCTTCTGCCTTTGATGACCGCTGCAACATAAGATTTGTGGTTAAGTTTCTCCTATTCATTAATTAATCAGTAAGGCTACTACTACTACTACTGTTAGGTAGGCCTAACGGTTAGACAACCATACTTTTTCAACAACTAATGCATCCTTTTATACTTAAATGTCATACCCTAAACAATATAATGAAAAAAAATGATATTTCATATCATAAGAATGCATTTTCGTTCAAAAATATGGTGGGTCGACCCATCTAACAGTTAGGCAGCTAACAACATTTATTTTAATTGTATTTTCACCATGAATTACCATTGGGTTAGGTTAGATGGGTTTCCGATTATCGAGTATAGTAGTGTCTAATCAGACCTGACAATTTCTCAAAGTTAAGGGGTACTGTAAAATCTGAGTAGCCATTTAGCAAGGTTCATATTTTTATCTTTTCCTTATTTTTTGCATTTTCAAATCTTTATATCTGACTTTCACCAATGAACATCAATTTCAACCATTTGCTACCACCATCTCCAAATTATTGCTGAATGAATTGTCCAGAGAACCATATCCCATAGACAGAAGTAAAGCACAATATCACTGATAAAAGCAGAACATGTAAAAAAGTCAATAGGAAAACAATGAAAACACTTGTTAATAAAAATTTTAAGCCGACAGAAATGATATGTAGAGAATTTCTATATTTTATTGTGTGAACTTAAAAGTTGTATCTGAAAGGACTTGTTCATAACATTTATTTCTAGGCTTGTTTATGAAGATTGAGTCTTTCATTAACCTTGCATCGCTTTATTTATTTATTTTTTTCAAATGAACAAGTGAAATCATTGTAATGTGGAAGGGTAAAGTTGAACATTTGCTGTGAAATTGATCATTTGCAATAAGGTATTGCGTAAATTTGGATCTTTCACCAAGATGCACATCTAAATTAAGCAGCTGGAAGAATTATCTAAATGCAATTTATTACTGAACTACCTAAAGACTAGGAGATTTCTACTCGAGAGTAGCTCATGTCCATGTTTGATTATAACTCTTCGACTTGACTTCACTATTCATATTAATGAATGTTAGAGAAAGTTCAATACAAGTTGTTTTACAGAATGGTGACTGCCATCCGAGTTGGAATGTATTAAAAAACCAATATGAAATGTTTACAAGAACCCTGCCTTTTCACCGCGGACTCCAAATAATCTAAAGTAACTTTTTTCCTGTACAGGAGTCTTTACGAAATGAACAGGATTGTTTTGAAGAGTTTCGAAATAAGTACGCTGAGGCACAAGAATCTTGTGAAGAGAGTCGTGCAAAATTAGAAGAGGCAGAAAAAAAAGTTCATCACTTGCAAGAATCTCTGCACAGGTAATTAAATGATGCATACCTTTTTGGTAAATAATATAATTTGTTTATTAGTCGGCTGTTGGAAAAGGCAAATTATCTGTACTTTGCTATTGTACTTTTTAATTGTTGGAATCTCGGAAGCCATGTAAGTTAAACGCATAATGAGAGAAGGCCAGAACAGAGAAAACGTTGTCGACTTACTTGAACTACATCATCCCTGTTAATGTTGGACTACATTAGGCACTAAAAAACATGAATTGCATAGAGAACCCTCATGAATGATATGACAAGAAGTCCATCAACTGTCTGTCTGAATTGAAGTACCATCAGTGACCGCCTTGCAAGCAACCAACAGGGACTAATGAGATGCCATATAAAAATATGACACTAAATCAAAGAGCATTGATGAGATGCCATATAAAAACATGCCCCTAAATCGAGGAGCATCGACTTGAGAAGCGTTAGTTGCAGATATGACCCCTTTGTAGTAGAATTCGTACTACGAGCCCGAGCAGCAAGGCGTGCACGAAACATTTCTGGATTCTGAGTTAAAAATTCTCAGCAATATTCTGGAGAGCCACCTGCGGTGCTTACAAGATTCTGCAAGCCATCTCTAGGTGCACTAAGTCAAAAGTCATGGAGAAGATGTCCTTTGACGAGCTACCAAGACACTATGCAATACTCGCGGAGGAGCAGCTGACATAGAACGGAGACGAGTCTCTTTAACAATCAAATCATTCTATGCCATGATCTGAGTTATGAAGCAACTGTGTACGAATGGGCTCAAACTCTGCTTCAACTCCCATGACAAAACAATAAGTAAAGACCTTCTATACAAATTTATGTGTTGAACACTCCTCTGTCGAGCATTGAGGTACCAACGAGATCAATGATCCTATCAAACGAGCAAAAGTTGGATAGTACTCATCAATGGACATATCGAGTGTACCACCACCATTAGCGTTATTTGTGTTATTGCAAATAGGATTACATTCCTTTGGTTGTCCTAGAAGAAGAAAGCCTCATAATCATAGATTGCTTGACACTATTGACGATGACAACCATATCTTTCCCATCATTAATCTTGCATATCCGCAACATTACTATTATCGGCCTTCGGTTGGGGTCCATCATCCATCATGTGGAAAGCTAGACCATAACCCCTTAAAATGGTTTTAATAATAATAAAAACCCACTCCTTAACCATCAAGAGTGATATTGATTGCAATTGCATCAAGTTGCGACATGATTCGACGACGTATGAAAATAGCTATGCCTTCGTGATATGCGATGGTAACAACGACGTATCAAAAAGACAGCGACGAACCGCGATGAAATATGAATGAAGGTGCTGCTAAAATCATCATTTGACGAGTGTCGGTGCGGATTAGAAAAATCTGGAGAAGAGCAAACGGACACCAAAACCCCCGAATCACTAAATCAATTCCAATCCCACGAGCGTTGACCGAAAAAAATTCCGCAAGCCACGCGCTGCGGCGCGGGCAATCAGGGGGTTAACCAGATAAAAAAATAGGCCAAAGGAATTTTGATCATCCCTTGCATCTGTTCAATGTCCACTATCTCCGTTTTCGGTGATCCTCCATTTTCCTCTCCTGCTTGCGACCACCATCACCTGTCACTTTCCTCTGTTTACAAACCTTCAATTAGAGCCTAACCAATCCTCTGCAACTTGCTTTTTGCCTCCTTAATTCTCTTTTCTAAGCATAGTGGTTCTGGAACGGTAAGCTTAGAGTACAATTAGATATGTATCCAATTCAATTACTTTGTTATTTAGAAAAAATAATAATTAATTGTGATGTGATAGAAAAATAGTAAAAAATGATTTGTAATTATAAATATGTGAATGGATGAATAGTAATTTTTATAGATAATGTGTAGGAATGATTTATTTTTAATTTAAAAAAAAAAAATTGTATTGGAAAATAAAGTGAGGAAACAAAATAAATTGAAATTGATGAACGGAATAGGATTGGATTGAATATATATTCAGTTGTGCTCGACTGATCTCCAATTATTCTTGATTAAGTTGGTTGGCCATAAGAATTTTTAATGTACAATGCAATTCATTGGAACGTATCTCCAACTAAACCATTGAAAAGATGACAGTTTTAATGATTAACTACATTGAGCTATTATAAATATGGTGCCAATTTCTGGAACATCGGAACTACTTACCAGCCTCTATAACAGTCTGCATGTACTAGAGCTTTCATTATTT